GGACTTGTAAAGTAGTTGACTGAGCAGCTACATGCCTTTTCATGCAGATTGTAGGCGATGAGATAGTCTACGACCTTCGTTGAGAGAATTTCTCCGAAGAAATCACCTCGTTCGTCACCTTCTACGGCCGACAACAGGGAAAAAGGCCGTTCTTCGGAACGCCTCTGTACAATTTGGTTCTAGATAAGACCTGTTATACATGTATGCTGAAGGAATTTATTACAGGGGTCTTCGACCAGTGGAACAGAGGACAGCGCTCCGACCGTCACCAGCTGGAGAGGGTGCTGAATAATGCCTTGAGCGGGCATATGACTGGATGCTCAAAATAAATAATAAATTGAATGCAAACAGTGAGTTGGTTCTAAACATAACCTATTAAGTTTGCGTATCATAATTGCGCCTTATTCAATATAGTTGAGACAGTATTTGCCAGTTACCTTCTTTCACCTCACTCGTGTACATGCTTCCTTTGCAGATTCGCACAATCCTAATGGCAGGGGGGGACCATCAACGCAGCCATAACTTCATTTTTTTGTACATTTAAACAATTTTTCATCTCCAATAAATTTTTTACGTTTTGCATAACGAATTCCTTCCATGCATTGCTAAAAATGTTACAAGCCATAGGTAAAGGAGTCGGTAGGGGGGAGCAAAACCTGGATGTGGGTCTTGGTGGGCGTTGCTAACGGATATAAGTAGACTGACGTTTGCTTAAAAATTTTGAGTTACAAACGGTCGGAGTCGATTCGCCACCGTTCCGCTTGACAAGGACGTATTCGATTCGCTTCCGGCCGGTCGAAACTAAGGGTAAGAATCGCTTCCGGTTCAGATCATATTCGTAACTCACTGCTATTATGGCTATTTCAGCAGACTTGCATTAATGCTCATTTGACATTCATTTCCTTGACATTTGTTTAGTTGAAACGCAAGTTGTCTGTGTGGAACACTATCAAGAGTCTATCTGAAGTCTATGTACACCGCGTCGACAGGTAAACCCCTTTTGACTGATTTTGCCCAACTCTCCATGGATGCTAGCAGGTTAGTAAGGCATGATCGACCCCTTCTAAATTCATACTGACGCAAACTGGGCAAGTTGTTTTCTTCAACATTTCGTATCAGCTCCGTTTTTATTATATTTCCATCAGTTTGTAGCAGATACTTGTGAGGCTCACTAGTCTGAACCTATTTATGGCTGTTCTCTCGCCACCTTTATATATGGGGCTTAGATTTGCTTTCTGTCGGTCGGAAGTAAGAGCCCCGATCTCAATCGAAGTTCTGAAGATCTTGGGCAACGGGGAAGCCAGTTGATCTGAGAGTTCATTCGGTACTTTCGCAATACGCCGTCCGGACCAGGGGATTTAGTGGACTGCAGTTGACTCAAACGTTTCCTTACCGTGCTCGCTGTTAAAGCCACCGTGCTAATCGTACTGCTTGATTTAACAATTGGGAGGTAAACTCTTCCATCAAAAACCTACTCCTCGGAATACACAGAAGTGAAGAAATCGTGTAGCAGGTTCACCTTATGTGAATTATCAGACAACGTACTTCCCTGGCAATCTTTTGGAGGGGGAATGCAGTCCAGGTTGCGTTTCACCTTATTCACGCATCCAAAGAATTTTTTGGACTTTTGCGGGATATTTTGGAGTATTTTTGAATCACATTCTCTTCGTCCCCTCCTCAGAAGATTCCGACCTATATTTCTTTGTTTTTTAAAATCAGTAAAATGCTTTGGTTTTTGACATCTGGCATACTTTTTCCAATGTCTCCCTTCCAATCTAAGGTTCTTCTTTATTTCTGATGTCGTCCACTGTGGCCTGTAAGCGCGCGATTTCTTCTTAAGTGAGCAACAGCTCTCTACCAAGTTCTGCATTACTTTATCGGGGAAGATCCAACCGCTCTCTGTGTCAGGTCCTTGTGCTGCATTCCATTTCGCCTCCTGTAGTAGATTTTTCCTTCGGGGACAATCCCCTCTCCATACCTTTCTTTCCTCGGCAGCTCGGATTCCAAAAGAACACAGTGGTCATTTCAGCCAAGGGGTGTGTTCGAGTCCAATTCGAGAATGCGACTATCATCATTATTGATGACGAGGTCCAAACAATTTGAACGTTCTCCGTCTTAGAATGGAGTTTTCATTTTTGATCATTTTGGGTAAATAACTCATCAGTAATCAGTTGAATAAATTCCTTTTTGAAGGAATTTTCTGATCGCATAAAATTCACTTAAGCCCCTCCAGTGTCTGGACAGTTGAAATCGCCAAGCAGCATTATTTGCTTGCTTTGACAAATTTCATTTATCTCGGTGATGAGTGCATCGTCTGCATCCATCTGCAGTCCCGGTGGTCTGTAAAAGAGAGTCATATTAAGGCTTGGATGGTTTGGCACTTTAATAATGTCAATGCTAAAGAATTTTATTGGAGACCCCTTGGGGTCAAGTCATAACAAATAAAGATGAATTTTCATAGGAATTTTCGACGAGGTAAGCAGAATCTCTACCATATGCAATACATAGTTATTGAATAAGTAATCCGTTAAGGAAAATTGTGAGCAAGCAGTGAAAAAATTCATTGTAGAATAAACAAAATTATTCGATTAAGTTTACAAGAGAGAACTGTCGCTCACGAAAGGGTTGAAATGCGGGCAGGACCGTCCCTCGTGTGGTATTGTATAACGGATTCAAAACGGACATCGACATAGCAGAATTCATACACCGGATGATACTGTTCGCGCCAAAGTGGCGAAACGAGAGAAGCCCAGAAGTGATCGGCTACAGTCCGCTTCGAGCCCAGCCGAGGAGGGGGCAAGGGAGATAGGACCAAACTACTAGCAGACGGAGAATACAGAGGGTTCAGCCATAAGCGTTGACAGATCGCTTGAGGTCGAAATGAGATGACATCAAGAACCGCGAAAATCGTCGCTATGGCGGAGTAGTGATAGCAGTGGATTTGGTAACCAATTCAAAATAGGGGATTGTAAAGATATAAATGAGGGTCTCCACACGGTCTACCACTAAATCCAAGGAGGACACTTCTGGAAGTCAAGAGCTGAGTGTTCGGTAATGAGACCGGTAGAAGTACTTTGATACTTTCCGGTGTAAGGAGTTCGCGTAATTTCGACTTGAATACCAGTAACTTAGGCGATGATCTGATTTCTGGTGGAAGATTATTCCAAATAAAGGCATATTTGAAAGAAAACTGAGGGAGCGCTAAGATGTAGTGCAAAATAAACGGCGGAATCACCATGGAGGAGTTGTGCGTGAAATATGACCGATCTCTCAGAACGAGAGTGTCAATAAGCGGAAGATTGGAGTTAGAGTTAATGCAAAAAGGGAGCAGACGCCAGCTTCGAGTCTTCCAATCCAAAAAACTTAATGTTCGTCAGCTGACATCTCTGAGTATAAGAAGTACCAGATAAGACTTGAGAGAATAGTTTCCGTGTGAAAACCCTCTGAACATTTTCGATTTTATTGCGGTCACAGTTCATTAAGCCAAAGAAAAAACAACAGTAGTCGAGGACTGGAAGTACAAATATTTGATCAAATCTCAGCTTCATTTCCGGGAGGAAAAAATATGCAAGATGAACCCACATATCCGCGAGGCTTTGGCAGAGATTCTATCAGCATGAGGTGATAAAGCAAGTTTATTTGTGTAACTTCGACCTAGGTCCTTTATAGTGAGGCATTCTGAGAGTGGGTTATTCTGAAAAAATTATGGACCAGTAAGCTTGGCAGGAACGAGAGAGATGAAACTACACTTTGATGATGAAAACTCCATCTGCCATGTCGAACCTCATCTGCTTAAGCGTAGTAAATCGGCATTAATTTTTTCAACACAAACGTTTGCGGTGTCCTTAGAGTATGAGTAAACACACTTGAGGTCATCGGCAAAATTTGCGAATTTACGAGTACAGTCGAAAAATTATTGGTGTAAAGAAGGAAGAGTAGAGGGCCCAGAACCGTGCCTTGAAGTATGCCACTCGTGATCGAGTGGGGTGTCGAGCAGCTATCATCGACCATAACCTTCTGATATCGGTTGGATAGATAGGACCTGATGAAGTCGAATGAGGCTGCCGGATGCCGAAAGCTTCCAATTTTGCCAAAAGTCGTCTATGGGTGCAAATTGTCGAAGGCTTTACAAAGATCAAAGAAGATAACTACCACTGACTTTTGCTCATTACGAAGAGAAGTGATTGGATTTAGAAATGCCAAGTGGCAAGTTTCGTATGATCGTTAAGGTAAAAATCCATGCTGATTAGAGCTCAGAAGCCGGTTAGCTTGACAGAAGTGGAGAATTTCCTTGAAAATAATTCTTTATTTTGCCAGAGACGGTGTTTTGTGCTCGTCCCGATAGCTGTTACATGGGACCGAGATTCAGACTTGAAGACAGGAATAATGATTGACGTCTTTCATGTTTCAGAAACGAATCCTTTTGAAATATAAACCAAGAATAGGTGACTTAGCAATATGGGAAGGTCAGATGCTTGCTTAATAATAGAAGTTGGAATTCTTGTCTGTTGTTCCCTCCCCACGAGCTTTCAAAAGGGCTCTCTTAAGCGTGTCGACAAAACTCTCCGTCTGACCGTTAGACTGAGGATGGTAGGGCGAGGAGCGAAGATGCTGGATGTTGTGCTGACGGAGGAAATCCTCAAACGTCGACGAAGTAAACTGAGAGCCATTATCTGAAACCAAGACTTCCAGCAAGCCATGCTGGCTGACGATGCGTCGTGGTAAGGCGATGGTGGCATATGCGGTCGCTGCATTCAGCGGAGCGATCTCGGGCTACTTCGAGCAGGCGTCAACCAAGATTAGGTAGAAGACTCCGTTAAGTGGGCCAGCGAAATCGATACGCATTCGTGACCAAGGCTCCCCGATGGTTGCCAGGGTATTGGCGGTTGACGAGGCGACAACTTGGCAGCCTGCTGACATCGAGAACAGCGTCGAACCAGGTCGTCGATGTCGCCGTCGATAGCCGGCCAGTAAGCAAAACTGCCAGCATTTGACTTCCTTCAACTGGTACCAGAATGGGCCGCATGGAACTGGCGTAGTACAGTGGATCGGGGGAGTGATGGAATCGCCACACAGTCCACAAACATGAGGCAGGAGTCAACCACAGATAGCGATACCCGGCGGAGGAAGATTTGGCGAAGGTCACCAGCGAGAGAAGTGGTTGGCCAGCAGGTCTGCACGTAAGTGATGGCCTGACGGAGGAAAGGATCCTGGTCAGTATCATGTCGGATGTCCGCGGTGGTGACAGGGATACCTCGTATTGCGTTGGATAACTGACGGCGCAAATCGTCCTCGATCGAAATAGCAGCAATCACGGTATCTTCCTCCAGTTCCTGCTGATTGCTGAGGATGCGAGAAAGGGCGTCAGCCTGACCAAAGTCTGTAGTACGACAGCAGCGAACGTCAAAAGCGCAGCCAAGAAGGATGGCTGCCCATCGTTGAAGTCGGCCGGCTGAGTAGACGGGAATGTCCTTCTGCGAACCGAAGATTGAGAGCAATGGATTGCGATCCGTCAACAACGTGAAGTGGCGGTTGTACAACAGATTGTGAAACTTCTTGACGGCAAACACGATGGCTAGAGCCTCTTTCTCTATCTGCTCGTAGTTCTTCTCCGCAGGAGTTAGCGTTCGAGATGCATGCATGATCGCCTTTTCAGACCCGTCAGGAAAAGTATGTGAGATAACGACATCAACGCCGTGGTTGGAAGCATCTGCAGCAACAACGATCGGCAGCGTCCGGTCGTAGTGCGTGAGTAGCAGATCTGAACTCAGCATCGACTTCAGCTGGGCGAAGGCCTTTTCGCAGTCGGGGGACCAGCACCAGTGAACATCCTTCTGCAGCAGAAAATTTAGCGGCACCCGTACGTCATGCAGCGATGGTAGGAAGGCCAAGAAACGATCGAAGTTGCGACACATTCTTCGGCGCAGGCATCCGTTGGATGGCCCGAATGTTTTCAGGATCGGGCACTTGTCGGCCCGTAGGCGAAAGCCATATTCCCGCACACGTTCGAGTACTGCGCACACTCGGTCTTGCAGCTCGGCAGAGGAGCAACCCGCGATGATGATGTCGTCCAGGTACCCAGCTGTGCCAGGGATGCCGGAGAGCATTGCGTTCGTCGTTTGTTGGAATAGCGCCGGGGCGATCTTGACACCAAAGGGAAGCCTGGTATATATGAACAGATCGCGGTGGATGTTGATGGTCAACAATTCGCGCGAGTCTGGGGCGATCTCGATCTGCAGATACGCATAAGCGAGATCGAAAGTGGCCAAGCAAGTACTTCCATTTAGCAGGGTGAAAAGATCAGCCTGAACCGGCAGTGGATAAGAGTGCAGCGTCAGCGCGGCATTGCGGCCGGTGGAGAAGTCAGCACAAATGCGAATCGAGCCATTGGGCTTCTTAACCACAACGATTGGAGCGGCCTAGGTGCAGTAGAGTACAGGAACCAGAACTCCCAGTTCCTCCAGACGTTTCAGTTCGGCCTCGACAAGTGGTAGGGCTGCATATGGGACTGGTCGCTTTGGACGGAAGACTGGTTGACTTCCAGTAGACAGATGTAGGACGGCTTGAGTGTATGTGCAATGACCCAGGCCGTCTTGGAACACTGGAGCAAATCGTTGGAAAATGTCCTTGGCTTGGTCTGCAAGCACTGCAGGAATCTGCACCTGACTGCAAACAACGCGGAGCGACATATCGGCCAACCCAAGTTGTTCAGTGCAGTCGAGACCAAGTAGGTTGAGGTCAGACTTGGTGATGTAGCAGATCGCAGTGATGCTGGTACCGCGGAAAGACACACAGCACTGCAGTTGCCCAATTAGCTGAACGAGACCACCGCACGCGCTTGTGGCGGACTGGGAAGTCTGCTGCATCGTGGGGCTGCCAAGGGACTGCCAGAGTCTCTCAGCGTTGATGGTGATATCTGAGGCAGTGTCCAACTGTAGGCGAACTGCATGGCCATTGAGCGAAACGTCAAAAGCTTTCTACGAACAGACGCATTGAGCTGGAAAGCAGCCAAGAGACTGAGAGAATTTCCGACGGACTGTGGTTTGGACTTACGTTTTGGCCGGAAACGGGGCCTGGAACTAGAAGTGGCGGGGCTGGCTTGCTTCCAGAAGCTGGTATTGGTTTGCAGAACCCATCACAGTGTCCCGCCTGAAAACAGCTTTGGCAGCGATGCTGGCGGAAAGTGCGATCCCGGTGGAAGTGTCACGCACCACAGTGCCAACAAGAAGATGGTGGAGATCTCGACTTGGACACTTGCTTGGGTCGTGTAACAGAATGCGGTTTGGTCGATGTGACCGTATGGACTGAGAAAGATGAGGCAGGGCTCAGAATCATTGCAGAGTCGTGCTTGAGGCTTATCAGCGTTTGGCACTCTGCTGTCAGCTCTTGGAGCGTGATAGAGTTGTCCTACTGCACTTTGGACAGGAGACATGTTCGGATATCAGCATCCGTGGGGGACTGGAGGCCGCAGATAAATATAAGGCATTTAAACTGATCATCAATGAGAGAACCATGTTGGAAACGCCCACACTCACGATTGACAATGCCCGCATATGTGATGAAATCATCGGAATCTCGTTTGCACAGTTGCAAGCACTGAAATCGAGTGTTCAAAGGGATGATTGCTCGCCAAAAATCTACGACAACGTCTGAACCATGTCCTTGAAAGTGACTTCTCGAGGATTCTTGGGGAGGATGAAGTTGACATAACGCTCCTGTTCAGCCGGGCCCAGTTTGTTAAGCAGAAGTCGAACCTTCCATGCATCGTCCTGGGCAGCCAGATTGACAGAGAACAAGTCCTCGTATTGACCCTTGCCCCCAATACCAAAGCGACAGAGAAGGAGAGCGCGATGGACCACGAAAATGTGTATTTGGAAATTGCAAGTCAAAATTTACTGGATGTAACGAATATTTATAACGCCATACTGTTGTTCGCCGGCATTCGGCCCAATGCCCTACGGGCAGAAGATTCCAAACGGGCTAGTGGATAGTCTGAATACGCAAACCGATCACGCCCGAGGGGAAAGGCCAATGGAGAAAAGCCACGATTAAGATGACAGCTCAGTAGAGAAAACGCGCGTGGCCTCCAGTTATTGGCTGGCCCTTGTTTTTGGGAGTGTAGGCACTTCCAACAGTTTAAAATGGTTTGCCTACGGACATCGTTACATCCACATCTGTAGAAGTTCTTATGAGAAAACTGGATCGGTAAATAATCAGGCACGACAATTCCATCCGTCCGACTTAGTCTTGACACTCTGTGTAACAGTTTACAGTCTTTCCAATACTAATACATATATTCCAGAAACATTTGTCTGTGATTTTTTATTGCTCGTTCTAACTCGTTGTACATACTGACACTCACATTGACGCTTAATGACGGCTAAAATCGTACTGTTTTTCGGTAAAATAATTGTGCTCAAACTCAAAACTGTCCTATAGGCTAAGTAGCGAATGCGTATCTGGCGGCGCTGCTAAAATTTATGCGAATATTTTCTTTTACTTCTTCGATGTGCCCTTTATCCATTTTTTCGGTGTACTCCTATCGTTGTCAACAAAAAGAGTAACCAAAGTTGCGAACGTAAATTTCCTTGCAATAAAATAACCGGAATTTACCCTTCAATCATTTTTTGGCTTATCGTAAGCCGATAACACTTCGTGTCATTTGTAACGAGCCCGACTGTCAGTATGAGAGACGGCCCAAGGAAGTAAGGCTTCGGTAACTTCTATGTACTTCAACGCCGATGTAAAATATGACACTAAAGAGGGGAAACCTAATTACAAAAATAAACTAGGACAAGGTGAGATTGTCCAGAGGGATTGTCGTAGGCACAAAGATCCGACGAAGACAGCGACAGAGGTCCCACGTCCGAAGGTTGGCGGCCTGCCAGGGGATTGTCGGAGGTTAATCCTCGCCCTTATTTATAGCTTCTCCAGGCCGGAAGTCGTCAATTTGAGTACACCATTGTTGATTGGTTAAGGGTAGGTCGTGGGTGGAAAGTTAAACAAACTTAGGTCAGGGCTATTTTGCATAATTTTCGGTTTATAATAATTTATTGTATGCCTACTTTTTGTGAGAGGCCAAATCCGACTAAAGGGGCGCGCTTTCTAGAACCTTTTCCAAGATGGCGGCCGCACTTGGTCTGGTCTTCTAGAACTTCGTTCACATTACATGTGTATTCCCAGATCTGCGTCCGACTTGATGCCATAAGGGGATTTTTTGTACGCATTGGAGAAAATTCTATACGTAAATAATACGTTTTAGCCCGGACAGGGTTTTACGTGGCATCTTGCACTGTTTCGTTTTGCACACTGCCCTGTTCGATGCACAATGTACGCTTTTTAGCGGATTGCTCGTTGAAAGCGCTTGGGTTTTTCTCTGCCTGTTGTCCAGCCGTGAAGGTGCGTTTCTGACAATCTTCCCACGATTACTTTTAGTGTTTTTCCCTTGTTAATTTTGAGCAGGAGGTAGCATTGGTCAAAAATATGAGGACTTAATCGCAATGTCGCGCATCCTTAACCTTTCATCGTCGGCACTTTCTCAATTGATTTCTTTTATTGTTTGTCCGCACCACGCTTACCGCATGCGTTGGTTCTTAGGCTGTGTTTGCTGACAATCTCGTCTTGTGGTGTGCTCTCTCCGTGTGTTCTGATAGTAAGTCGCGTGATGCCTTACTGAGCGTGACTTTCTTTTTTTCGTCATATTCAGAATTTCTTCAGATATGACTTCAATCATCTTTGTTTTACTCCATCCGTTTTAAAATTTGGAAATTTTGTATCTTGATCAGGTCAGATAGTGTCGAAAAATCCATATTAATTTAGTTCTTTCCTATTCCCGAGAACATAGCTGCAACTACTCTTAGCTACTACAAAAACTGTAGAGATTTGGGTAGCAGTTGATGCTCTAACGGATTCAGACAACAGCATCCCACCAGTAAGTAAGCCGTGTTGATGCGTTCGCCCACACGCGGCCAGACAGACTCCTGAAGGTCTTCCGGACCTTTCCTGCAGTTCGTAAGCCCAGGCATTCAGCAGCCCATTTAGCCCACGAGAGGCTGCGTGCGTATGTATGCTAAATCTAGGCTGTCCGCACCTCTCCGTGATCACAACAATCTTACTGCTACAGTAGTCAATAAGTTGACCGCAAAATGCTATCAAGGGCACTTTTACGTCCCGTTTGACTCTGTGATTTGTCCCTTAATATTCTGTGTACTTTGTTATAATAATGGGAATCCAGCTGGTCGCAAATAGGTTTGGGATAGAATAAATGTTCCTACTGTCTATTTGCGATTTCACTCCATATTGTCCATCAGGACAGTTCCTAAGGCCAGCCGGCTCGTCTATATCATAGTTAATGAGGACGACTCACAGGGCCTTAATTGCGAATGGTATTCTGCATGACTTATTTGATTTTCCTTCAGTCTATTCCCAGGCTGCATTCTTTGTAGGTTGACAGTGGGGACTGTGCTTTTGGGTTTCGTGGAATCATATCGCCTTATGCAAAATGAATAATTGTATGCGTATTAACTATTTGAAATACTGCTTTTACCTGTTTCTGGACGTTGCGGCGCCCGTCACTACCGCATGCCGTAGATCGCCCGTCGTGCCTTCAGTACTCGTTAGCGAGTTACTGTTTCCTGCACAAA